TGTGTTATATCAATTTTGATCCCGAAACTATTAGCAAATGGAAATATTGGGGGTACAGTGTCTCCGTACGTTCATGAGATGGGCGTGTCAGGCACCGCACTCGTGGTAGGTAAATGTTCATGATTACTGTCTTGTGGATCATTGTCTATCACTGTATTATTGTCACTATCAACTTCATCCAATTCAGGAATCATTATTTCATCGCCACTATCATCATCAGAACAAATTTTGTTCACAACATTTTCCAGCTGGTCTGTAGGAACACGAAGACACTTGCTGCAAGAAGCCATTGTGAAACTGAATGAATGTGAAATATTTTCTGACCTTTTCCTTCTCAGAGGGTTCTGACAGTAATATAGACCCCCACAAAGTTTACAAGGGTTCTTTACAAACATTCACAAAAACTACTATATATATGTCTTTGGTTGATGAGTGCCAAGAGAGCAAAGAAGGGAAGAGATTGTCAAAGCGTTAAAACATGCCAACACCAGGGAACGGCTGGCATCGTCTGGGCGTTAAAACACGCCCACGCCAGTCAAAGAGTTAAGTGGTGAAGCAAAGTGAGGTGAAGCTATCCCTATAACAGGCTGTGAAGGCCCATAGGGTTGTGAGATGTTGAGGGTCCCATATCATCTGGTATAGTCCTGAATCTGCGGCACCACCAAAATGATACTGAGCCCGGTAAAAAGTGTGAGGACTGTTTAGGCCCATCCTCAGAAATGAAATGCTATCCCATCCTATCAGTACTGACCATTTCAATCTTACATCACATTATCCACTAGATATACTCGTATAGTTCTTATATATAACTGAAATTCTGTGTGTGGTTGGGTGTTCATGCATATGAATAATTGACTTCTTTCTTTCATGTTGGCAGCAAGGAGTCCCGTGTTTTCACACCTCACTGCAACACTGCAAGGTCTAACCACAATTCGAGCTCTTGGTGCACAGGCCATGTTGGAAAAGGAATTTGACAGTCTTCAGGTGGGTTCAGCACATTTTTTGCTCTTTGGATGTTTGGTTTAATTGTGCTCAATAAATTCCATGCCATAGTTGAGGCTTTCATTATTTTCTATTCAGAAGCTACTCAGTGCCATTTCTTGTCATGTAATGACTCTGATAGGAAGGATTTCCACGAATAACTCATTAAGTCAACTTTCCTATTGTGTGCACTTCCAGTTTATGAATAGTGTTGTTGAAGAGTACAGTCTTCTTTGTTGTTGTGTCATGTGTTCTGGGCTTCCTGTAAAGTGTGCAGCATTACAACCATGAAGACTACTGTTGTGGATTAGTATGGCAGAAAATCTGAATTTTCATGACACCTTGGTTAATATTCAATGTTAAATGTTAAGGCCATCTGCCTGCCAGTTTAACTGATGCTGCATCACAGACAGACTATACAAGGTGTACAGGGTGTTCTATTTCACTTTATAAAGAATTCTTGATTCTCTACGTGAATATGTGGAATTTGCCTAAAGTTATCAAACAAATCATGTCTAAAGCAAATGAAGGTAGACTTCATTGTGAGATTGACTGTGCATTAAAATCAGGCACCATGACAGTTTGAGTCAACAGAACTGAATGTTACTGTCCAGTGGCTCATATCTGTGAGGCCCCAGCTTCAAATCCTGGCCCTGAGACCAACTCTCCTGTCTGAAATTTATCATCTCTTATTGCCTCTAGACAGCTGCTGAGTTAGTACTTCAAATTAGGCCATCATCATTTTGTTCCACACCCTTTACAAATGGTTACTCACTGATAATCCTACAATTTAGTTGACAGTATATAATCTCAGCTACTAATGATGTTGTTAAATAAACAGTAAATATACAGAGTGTCCCAGGAGTTTGGTGCCATGCTTCAGGAGCGTACTGAGGGTTCCCTATAGAATAACTTTGAAATAGGAACCCATGTCCACAGACGTAAAATAGCAGTGCTAGGGTGGCATTTAAAATCATTTGGCAGGCATCATTGGCGATCACTTGATTGGGCCTTTCCTCCTACCACCGTGACTCAATGGGCCCTTTTACAAGGTGTTCCTGGAATGTATCCTTCTGACTTTGCTAGAAGACGTGCCAGTGATTGTGCGGAGGCAGATGTGGATACAGCATGATGGAGCACCAGCACACTTCAGCATTGATTGAAAATGGAGGGCGCCAATTCCAACATCTACTCTAGCAGGTGAGTCTTAAGAGTTTGGAAGGGGTAATATGCCTGTGCATGCTGTTTGAGATTGAGGTGCCAAGTTTAAACAAAATGATTTTAAATGCTGCCCCAGTGCTGCAATTTTATGTTTGCGGACATGGATTCCTACTTCAAAGTTGTTCTATAGGGAGCCCTCAGTATGCTGCTGAAGTATGGCACCAAACACCTGGGACATCCTGTATAAGTAAATTGTACCAAGTTATTTAAGATGTTTAATTTTTACCGCATCTGATAAGACATATAAAAATGCTGACCCAATTATCATTGTTGAGTATCATCATTGGTTGTTTTGTTGTGTCAACAGGACTTACACTCATCAGCCTGGTATATATTTGCTGCAATAACCCGGGCATTTGCGGTATATCTTGATAGTACCTGCCTAATTTATGTGATGTGCGTCACCCTCAGCTTTCTCTTCATGGGTGAAGGTCAGTTGAGTATTCAGTTTGCAGTGAAACTGACATTAAAGGTTTCTTTGGGGAACAGTAACTCTGTTAAACACCAGGGTGAGGACCATGTTGGACCATTGAAACTGAACACTGAATGAAGGAAAATCTTAAGTCAAGGAGCACTAAATGAGTGTTCCAGTGTATTTGATAGTTGTTTTAAGAATGCTGGAGTTCTCTCCATTCAGTTTCTATATTTAGCCATGCAAATGTAATTTTTTTAAAGAAAATATTTGTATAAGCCTTTGGTAAAAGGAAAATGTGTAACAGTAGTTCAAAATATCACATGAAGGACATGTGTGAACCACATGTCCCTTTTTGACCACACTATATGAAGTTTAAAATTTGAAAACTTAAACAGTTAGATTCTTCTCTATAAGAACACAAATTGGCGCTGTTTTGTATGTTTCACTCCACAATTTTGCATCTGTGATTATGGTGTAGTATCTTACCTTTGAATGAATGTGCGTGAATTAAGTTTTCATAGCACCTGAAATGGCACCCCTTTCCCCCAAAAGAAGAGGATGGAAGGAGAGAAAGAGAAAAGAATGAGAATAATAAATAGGGCTTGGTGAAGGGTTTCAAGTTCATGGTTTTCTTTGATTTCATTGAAGATTCAGTTTCGCATTGGAAAGTCTGAACCAAGCAAATTGAGTGAGACATACATGAACATATAATTTTTGACCTTGTCATCTGACTGGAGTCTGTTCTCAGGAATTCGGTGGAGGGGCACATTGCAGTTTAAACCATATAATGGCTTTAATTATTATTTTGTTTGTTACACAGTTGTTACATGAACAGAAACATTTGTGAAGAGTACAATCTTGTGGGATGTAATACCCAGTAATCCATTGAAAGTCAAATGATGATTTTGAGGAATGTATGTACTCTTCATAACCACTGCTGTGACAACTCCAAATCCTGCATAGAAACATCTGTATTTGTGCGTAGTTTGATACAGATCAAAGCATTGTGTTCCACAATACTGGTTAAGGTGTTAGTCAGATGTGGGCATCACACTGAATCTATATTAGTTCTGATGTGTTGAATGCCTTGTGGGACAGTAAATAATTTAAAGGCTAGATATAAATACACACTATTTTATGTAGTGACAAACGTAAATTATGCTGCAAAATGGAGATGTGCAGAGGTTTAGGTTTTGTATTTCTGAGATACTGAATATTTTGATTACAGAGTACAGTGGAGGAGATGTGGGACTGGCAGTCACTCAAGCAATTGGGCTGACAGGACTTATACAGAAAGGTATACGTCAGTCAGCAGAATTGGAGAATCAGATGACTGCAGTGGAACGTGTGTTGGAGTATTCAAAAGTGGAAAAGGAACCTCCATTGGAATCACATGCTGGTAAGAAGTGAAACACTGAACATCGGAATTACTAAATAGTTTTAATTCGCTTTCCAGATTATGCCAAAAACATGCTAATTCATTTTCTTAGTAGAAAGGTTTGGAAGTAATAAATATAAAATATATTACAGAGAGATCAAAAAGTCGCACACATCAAACTAAAATTTGTTATAAATTGTATTTCAGTTAATATAATTACACTTAAGTGCCAAAAGTCATGGGATAGGTACCTAGTATCGTGTAGGACCCCCTCTAGCCCGGTTAAGTGCAGCAACTCGACATGGCATTGATTCCACAAGTGGATGAAAGACCTCTGGAGAGACATTGAGCCATGCCGTCTGGATAGCTGCCCACAGCACCCTGGTATTTGTAGGTGCAGGATTTTGGGTGCGAATGGACCTCTCCACCATGTCCCATAAATTCACGATTGGGTTCATGTCAGGCGAATGTGGTGGCCACACCATTCATCGGAACTCTCCAGAATGCTCCTCGAACGAATTTTGGACAACTCCAGCCCGATGACACGGTGCATTGTCCTGCTGGAATATCCCATCGTTGTGGGGGTACATGAAGTCTATGAAGGGCTGCAAATGGTCACCAAGCAGTGTAACGTAGTGGTCACTGGTCAGTGACGTGTTTAGGTGGATGAGCGGACCCAACTCATGCCACGTGAACACACCCCACACCAGTATGGAACCGCCATCAGCCTGCGCGGTGCCTTGGTGACAACTGGGGTCCATGGCCTCATGGGATCTGCGCCATGCCCGAACCCTAGCATCCACCCAAAACAACTGGTACTGTGACTCATCGGACCACACCACATGTTGCCAATCCTCCAGGGTCCAATTAGTGATGTCACAAGCCCAGGTGAGGCACTGTGTCCAGTGTCGTGGTGTTAACAGAGGCACTCTGGTTGGTCTTCTGCTCCCATATCCCATGGAAGCTAAAGAACGCTGCACTGACCTGCTGGATATGCATCTGGTACCTCCTGCATTGAATGTGGATGTGATTTCAGCCAGTGTCGCTTGTCTGTTACCATGGACAATTCTAGCTAGATGCCGCTGGTCACGATCATTAAGCACTGTGGTCAGCCATTGCGCTGTCCGTGGTGGGTGAATGCCTTCCAAAATGTATTTCTGGTACACATGTGACACCGGGGATCGAGGAATGTTGAATGACCACACAACTTCGAAATGGAATGTCCCATCTGCCTGGCACCCACTATCATGCCCTGTTCAAACTCTGATAATTCACATCGGCTTGCCATGAGCAGACTGACCGGTGTTCAACCTGACTCACAAGAGAACACCTCACAACTGATACTGCTCTGGGCATTCCCAAGCCGTCAAGGGGTGGTGGCACCACTTAAAAATAAATTTACACACTGCTATCCCATGACTTTTGGCACTTGAGTGTATATCTCCTACCACTAGATGGTACTGTAGGAGTACTAACAACGAGTAGAAATGCAGTCTGTTGTGAGCCGGTCGTATGACGTCTGCAGTATAGCTTTGTTTATTGAATGATAAACATGTCGTTTTCCCAAGAACAACGACTTTTCACTGTGAAACATTATTTTTCCAGTTGTTCTTATGCATGTGTCGCAGACGAGTTTCATTGGGAATATCCAGATTCTGCAATTCCTAACAATTTGATGATAACTAGAATAATCAACCGATTTTGGGAATGTGGATCAGTTTTAGATAGGAAGAGATCCGGGAGACCGGCCATTTTGACTGAGGCTAAACTGGATGATGTGGAGAAAATGTTGTAATGTTCCCCCTTCAAAAACCCTGAGGAGACTATCAGCGCAATCAGGGATTTCGTACGGAAGTGCTCAGAAAGCGATGAAGAAGTTACACCTTCATGTGTGTCATGTTTCCTGTGTACAGGAACTGAAGGACCTGGATAAACAAAAACGCTTAGTATACTGTAGATGGTTTCGGAAATTTGTTGGCAACCATGGAATTGAAGAGTTTGATCGGGTTTTCTTCACTGACGAAGTGTGGTTTCACCTTAGTGGCTACATGAACAGTCAAAACAATAGGATTTTGTCATCTGAAAATCCACACGTGTTACATGAAAAGCCCTTGCACTGTCAGAAATTGGAGTGTGCTGTGCTGTATCATGTCGCCGAATAGTGGGCCCAATTTCCTTTGAAACAACAGTGAACAGTCCAGTGTACCAAGACATCATGACACAGTTTATTGTGCTTCTTGAAGTTGATGCACATGAGTGTTGGTTGCAGCAAGATGGTGCCACATGTCACACATCTAATGAAACCATGCACTTCTTGCGCAAGTTTTTCGGTGACTGTCTCATTTTGAAAGGACTGTGGCCCCCGCGTTCACCCAATTTGTCACCCGCAGATTTTTTCCTTTGGGGGTACCTCTATAAAAACAATCCACATACACTGGATGACCTCAAGAGGAACATTTTGATGGCGATTAACAGCATCAATTTACAGGTGCTCCACACAGTGGCCTCAAACATGGTAAAAAGAGCTTGTGCATGCATTGCTGAACAGGGAAGTCATTTTGAGCATATGTTGTGAAGACATGATTTGATTTTGCATTTCTAAGATGTACGGTTATAAACATTAATAGTAAGTGCTGTATGTCTTGTAGTTTGTGCAGTAAACCAGCAAAATATAATTGCTTAGTGTGACGTGTGCGACTTCTTGATCTCGTACTTCATGTACACTTCCTTATCAGTGAATATACATATAAATGTGCAGTTATGCAACATACATTCTCCGGTTTTTACAATTTGGTGTTATGTTTCATCTCATTTGTAATCCTCAGGCCTTTGGTCAGTTGGCATATGTGTGTAAACTTTTATTTTATCATATGCATAGTTCATGTAAGGAAGTAATGTGATAGCAAGAAGAGTAGATCATGAGATTTTGATAGATTTACACATTCTGAGCCCCCTTGCACATGAAAGGAGGTTTTTGGTATGCCATCTTTCATAATGTCTGGATGAGTGGATGGTTGTTACTCAGTCAGTGCTCAGGAAACATGAACATTCCATCTCGAAAACCAGGGACCCTTCAGATGTGTCCAAAACCCAGAATGGTGATTTTCTCAATTAGCACAAACAGTTCCATTTAAATTTCAGAGGCTCATGCAGACGAAGTACCTAAATAAAAATGTATAGGTGGTATCTTCATGAAAATAATGGCATGTGCACTGGGGATCAAAATGCAAGATGTTGATCTTTGTCCAAACAGTCTCTGCTGATTAGGCAGATTTCATTTTTGTACAGTATTCAGGAACAGCAATTGTTTCTGGATCGTCTGCTTTGCACTGTTCATAAGAAGAACCAGTATCTGTCAGTTAGATGTAACTACTGTCCTGTCTTGTGTTTTATTGTGTTTCTATTTTATTGTCTGATTTTTCTGTAAGCCTAGAGTACTGCTGTTTTTAGCCTCTCTTACAACTCTTTTTCAGGATTTTTGAATGCAATTTTCTCTTGCATTTGAATTATTGCTGCTCCTGATCTAGACACACACCTTTTGTTTGCAGGATGTACTTATTCCTTGTGTAACCCAGCCATTGTTTATTTTATATGTACTAAGTTGGAAAGAGATCTTCAGAGACATTTAAGACAGTATATCAGAATGAGTTAGGCTGGCAGTCACTTCTTAAATCCCTCCCACGATTAATACCAACACTGCAGCTGCTCAAATTGTTCAAGCAATAACCTTAATATTACTTGAATGCCCAAACCAGTCTTCATAGAACTTGGTATGTGTATCTGAGGTAATCTCAATGGTGTAGATCATAAATCACTGCCATCAGTAACAGCAGCACTGCAGCCTCTCAAATTGCATTGTTTTATTGACTTCGTTACACTTACATACCGAAGTTTTCTTTCTGCTTCTCATATCAAATACTCAGATTATGTTTAAAGGAATGTAAGCAATTAGTTATTCCCAGAACTTCTTGTATTGTGCATTCTGAACAACAAAATCATAATAATGTAGGCTAATACACTTGGATTTACAGAGAAGAAACCAAAAGATCATTGGCCAACACGAGGAGAAGTTGTATTTGATCGAGTCTTCCTTGCTTACTCCAAAGAGGGACCATCTGTCTTGAAGAATGTCAACTTTGTCATCAGACCAGCTGCAAAGGTGACTGAGAATGAACAAGTACTCTGTAATAAGTGTCCATTTCAGAAGATGTCATTCGGCAGTAACCAACTCCATTGAGCTGAGGCCTATTTGAGAAGTTGCTAGTTGCTCAGCTAGTCAAATTCCTAGCATTTTATGAAACTTGAATGTTCATTATCATGTTCATAAGAGCTTACCAATGATCTTTACCCAGAGCTAGACAACTCCAGTGCATCCCCTTTCTGTTTCTATGAGATCCATCGTAATATTCTTCCACCTGTGCCTAGGTTGTCCAAGTGGTCTGTTCCCTTGAGGTTTTCCTACCAAAGCTCTTTATGCATTTCTCTTCCCTACTCTCTGTGCTACATTCCATCCCAATCTTAACCTTGATTTAATCATTCTAATAATATTCAATGAGGAGTACAAATTATGAAGTGCCTCATTATGCATTTTTTTTTCAGTCTTCCTTCCTCCAATTTAGATCCAGATGTTCTCCTTAGCACCCTATTCTCCCATGCTCTCAATCTATGTTCTTCCCTTAGTATGAGAGACCAAATTTCATGCCTATACAAAATTACAGGCAGAATTACAGATACTGCACTGAATACCAGAACATATGCTGCTAGACCAACCTCCTTACTAGTATCTAATAGAGCGTTCATGTTTGTTTGTTACCCACTTTCGAATTTTGGAGAAATAATAAAATGCAGGCTTATGAGATTAGTTTCATCTCTGTGTGTACTCCCCCTCCCCCAATGCCTTTGCTAGACCGTCTTAAGGCAGTGTCACTCTTTTGCACTGTCAGCCTTTTCCTTCTGGGTTAATTTGCAAGTCTGTGAGTCAAAAGGTGACAGAAAACCAAATTTAGGTACCCCATGGACATAGACAGAATATAGCCTGTATTGAACATCTACATAATACATTGGGTTGGACAGATGAAGGAATACTAAATGTAGATTCAAAAGAATGCATCAGCTTTCAGCCCTAATGCCACTGCTTGTCAGCGGCTTGGTAGTGAAAGGAAAGTAGGCAATTTGTTCTTCCCAGAACTTCTTGTTATGGTATTTATATTTTCCTCAAATGAATTGACATTACTAGCATGAACTAGAAGGTAATGTGTTCCATTCAGTTTAAACCCTTCCTAGATTTCTTGTATCTTTCTAAGATTGTTTTCTAAAGCAAAGTTGAAAAGCTATGGCAGTAAAGCATCTTCTCCTTTCACACCATTCTGAATAGGAATCGTATCAGACAAATTTGTACCTATATGGACTCCACTATATTTTCATTTTAATTAACATGATCCATTCTCAGTGAAAATGTTGTACTCTCCTTTGCTTCCAACTGAATTGCTTTCTTGGAGCCTATAAATAGCTGGCATACTGTCTTGCAATATTCCCATTTCTTCTCCAGTATTTGATGAATGCAAAAGTTTCATCAGTAGTTCTGTCTGTACTGATGATCTCCAGTAATTACATGCATGTATAAAGTTCACCTTGAGAGAATAATGTTGGTGTTCTGATTATCTCCATTTTTCTTGGATCCTGTAATCACCAGAGTTCAGCTTGTTTCCTCTGCTGATGTTACATCATCTTCAACTTCAAGGCATGTTCAGACATGTTCCAGCTCAACTGTCGTTCCACCTCTTCCTACATCTTCCTGCATCCCTTCTCCCTATTGGTTTATTGTTCAGAATGCATTTCATCAATCTGTGTTCTGTTATTGGTTCTGCTCTTGTGATGTTACACTGTGCGGTTGTGGATAATGTTTCTGACATTCTGGAGGTCAAGCTGCCACCATCTTCAGGATTAAAGCATGTAGTTTGTTGAGTTGCTCTATAGGAGTGTATACTATAACATTCTCTTCTGAAAGAAAATGGAGGTAATAAATTGGGGGGCACCAGTCCACATTTTGAATCTCCCCTTCTTCCATTCCTTTTCATAAGAGAATGCTATACAGTATACCCTTGCTAATTTTGATTAATTGGGAGAAGGGAGAGGTTATCTGGATTAACTGATAATCTGGATTAATGAAGCAAAAGATAGACCTAAAAGACCAAAAAACTTAGAAAACAAATTAATGGAGAATGTAATAATATAGGTAGTGCTGATAAAAATAAGTAAATAAAATGTTGCTGCAGCAATTTCTTCCTCTGTCAGAAGCTGAAATCCAGGGTCTCCTTCATCCTGCTCAAGTCAATCTTGGATTCTTTCTTGTGTGGTTTCATCTCTCCATCTGCCCTCAACACAGTCTGGAAATCCTCTTGCTCCTAAGTACCATATGTCTTTTAAAATACGTACTCAACTAGGAACAGAATTTTTCATATTTTGATCCTGATTATGCAACAACTGGAATAGTGAGGGTTCTTGAGAAACTGCCACTTCTGCAGCTACTCAAGAACTTTGCAGCATTTTATGGAACCTGGAGGTTCAGTACTGTGTTCACAAGAGCCTTCCATCAGTCTCTATCAACATTTTTATTAAACTACTCAAGTAACAAAATCACTGTAACCAAAACATAGCCAGATCAGTCCAGTCCATAACATCCAATCCTGTCTCTCTAAGATCCATTTTAATATTGTCCACCCACCTATGTCTTGGTCTTCCTAGTGGTCTCTTTCCTCCTGGCTTTCATATGAGAATCCTATATGCATTCCTTTTATCCCCCATTTGTGCTACATTCCCTGCCAATCTCATCCTCCTTGACTTGAATATTCTAATTATACTTGGAAAAGAATACAAGTTATGAAGCGCCACTTTATGTGGTTTTCTCCAACCTCCTGTCACTTCATCTCTCTTTGATACAATATTCTCCTCAGTACCCTGTTCTCAAACACCCTCAGTCTATGTTCCTCCCTTAATGTCAGAGACCAAGTTTTACACCCATACAGAACCACAGGCAAAATTATAGTTTTGTATATTCGAGTTTTTATGTTCTTAGACAGCACACAAGAAGACAAAAGTTTGTAGACTCAACAGTAGCAAGCATTACCTGAATTAATTCTGCTCTTAATTTCCTCCTGAATCAGGTAGTGATTTGTTATAGTCGTTCCCAAATATCTGAACTGTGCCACATTTTCAAAACATTTGTTAGCTATCTTTATGCCATGATTTTGCCCCGAAAATTAACCACCATGAAAACCTAAAATCAGTAATCTGTAATTTCCATTCTTTGCACATGCTCTAACCAGATAGTTTCATTTGTATTCTTTCGGTTAAGTAATGTACAGTAAGACCTTGTCATTTTGGACTAATTGGGAGTGAACCCATGTCCAGGTTAGTGAATGTCTCAGTTGTAAAAGTTCTACTGAAAATATGTTCAGGGGAGTTTTAAAATGGACTTCACGTGTCTTTTTAGGCAATACAAATTTTATTTTGAAATCTAAGATTGCATATCTTAAAATAAATTTACTAGCCATAAAATGTAAAAATGTAAGTTTTGACATCAATCTTAAAAATATTTTAGGTAACTTATATGCTTAGTATTATTGGGACCATGTTTAAAAGGTGAACTTATAAGGAGCAGTCAAATGAAAACGGGTCACCATGCATAACTCACACAGCGCGTAAGTTGGTAACACTGGAATTTGCTTATGATATGAACATCTGGTGGGGACTTGGGAAGCACAGTGACAATGTGCCTTTGCACACTAGTTGTTTATTGTGCTGGAAGTAAGGTTAGCACTACATGTGGTCGTCCATCATCAGTAATTGTTTATTGTGCTGGAAGTAAGGTTAGCACTACGTGTGGTCGTCCATCATCAGTAATGGGTCGGGTAAAGAAGAACAGCGAAGTGTAGTGCACTTTTTGACTGCTAAAGGAGTAGGAGGACGAGAAATTCATCGTCGCATGTCTGTTGTTTACGGTGAACACAGCATGTCACATTCGCATGTGCTGGTGTGGCATAAGAGATTCTGAGAGGGACATGTGTCAATGCAAGATGATGCACGCCCAGGACAGGCTCATCGTGTCATCACTCCTGATGTTATTGCTGCATTGGATGGTCATATCCAGGGAAACCGACGATCAGTGTGGAAGAAATTAGTATTTTGATGGGAATAAATTATGGTTCCATACACGCCATTGTGACAAAACACCTGCTGCACTGCAAAAGCGGCGCGTGGTGGGTTCCACATCAACTCACGGAGGAACAGAAGACTCAGAGAATGGCTGCATCACTGGGTCACTTGCAACGATACCATAAGGAAGAGTATGCTTTTCTGTCCCATATTGCCACTGGGGATGAAACTTGGTGCCGCCATTTTGAACCCAAGAGCAAACGGCAGAGCTAACAGTGGAAACACGTGAATTCTCCCCCAATGAAGAAATCCAAAGCTGTACACACAAGTTCCAGTAAAGTGATGATGGCGTTCTTCTTCAACTGCAAGGGTCCTCTGCTTGTCGAATTTCTCATGCATGGGGCCACAATCAGTGCACAGCACTAAGAAGACACTTTGCAGAAACTGAGACGTGCCACAAAGTTAGAACGCCCTGGAATGCTATCGAACGGCATTATCCTTCTTCATGATAATGCGCGCCCCCACACTGCCAACTCTGTGAGGAATACGCTACAGAGATTTGGTTGGGAAGTGCTTCAACATCCCCCCTACAGCCCAGATCTCTCCCCATGTGATTTTTTTTTTTTTGGAGACCCGAAGAGAGATGTTCATGGACATCGGTTTGCATCGGACAAAGACGTATGGCTGGGTAAAGATGTGGTTCTGTAGACAGCCCACAAGCTTTTTCAAGGATGAGATTGACCGTCTTATCTCCCAGTGGGATAAATACATTAACAGTTTGTGAGAGGTAAAAAATGTTCTTTAATACGAGGGGGGACCCTCTTTGTTCCTTCTGGTCGGCCATTTCACTAATCGCCAAAGGTTGAAACAGGAACGCACACAACAGAGCACCACAGACAAACCACTTAACTCAGACTGACGCCAGCTCACTAACAGTCGTGGGAGACCCCCAGCTAACACCACCTAGCAGCACAACTCGTAACTACAAAGCATGCGTGCGCAACAGGTCGTTTCCGGTTATTTTTGGGTCCCCCTTCGTATGTTTTGGCTTCTGACCCATTTTCATTTGACTGCACCATAATATTTTGGTTTGTGTTCCTCTTTTATACAGATCTTTTACTATATCATGCCTCAGTTGCCTCAGAATTAGGCTATATTTGTTGTATTCTGCGTTAGAGTCCGCAAAACTGATGATAGAGTCCGAGTTTTAGGTTATCTCTCTGTGTATGTGCTGATTTTCCTGTTTTGGAAGCTTTGACTTTGAAGCTATTTTAAAATGAATGATCTTGATGTTGACATGAGGCTTACATCCTTCTACCATCATATATGCTAGCACTACATACAGCAGTTTGCAATCACTGATTGCAGCAGTGTGATCATCAGTCATCAAGGTCATAATGTGGAAAAAGAAACAGTTGTCTGAATTATCACAATTACCGAATTAGTGAGATTTTAGTGTATTCCAAATTTTGGTGTTATATTATGCTTCAGTATATTACAAAGCATAGTACAGCTTTTGATCGATTTAAGGAATATCATTTCTGATGAATTTTTACCTTGCGTACATCTCTTTAATAATTTTGAATATTTTTCATAAGGCATTTTATCTCCCAGTCCTTAACGCCTTCATTCTTTAGTGCCATCCTGTTTTTCCACTTGACACTGTTAGCCTTAATAGGGTCCTTTAATCTAGACAGAATTTAGTGCTGAACGTTTTGTTTGGTGTGTTTTTTGTCTTTAACATACAGGTGGGCATTGTTGGACGCACAGGTGCGGGAAAGTCATCTCTTGTCACTGCTCTGTTCCGTCTGGTGGAGCTGTCTGGGGGCTCAGTTCGAATTGATGGCATAGACATTGCCTCAATAGGTCTCCATGACCTGCGCTCTAAGATCTCCATCATCCCACAGGAGCCTGTGCTGTTCTCTGGGTCACTGAGAGAGAACCTGGACCCATTCAGCGAGTACTCAGATGCTGCACTGTGGGCTGCGTTAGCCGAAGTGGAGCTGAAGCAGGTTGTGGATGAGCTGCCTGCTGGACTGAGCCACAAAGTGTCAGAGGGTGGCTCCAACTTCAGTGTGGGACAGCGCCAGCTCCTGTGTCTGGCCCGTGCCATCATCAGGAACAACAAGATCCTGGTGCTGGATGAGGCCACAGCCAATGTGGACCCACAGTGAGTGATTTCTTCAATTTGCTCATTCAAATACAATTCCTGGCAGGCCATAGCTTTACTGTATAGAACTATAAGGTTTATTTTGGACTCTGTCCATCGTCTGGTATATATAAGACAAAAAACCACAACGTTTCAGAGACTGGATCTGTCTCCATCCTCACTGGAGTGATTGAGACTAGCTCTTTCTAATGGGCCCAACTGAGTAGGTCTGTCTTGTCCTATCCACCTGAGGATGGAGACAGATCTAGTCTCCAAAACATTGTGGTTTTTTGTCTTTATATACCAGATAATGGATAGAGTCCAAAATAATCCTTATAGTTCTACACAGCATACACCATCGTCAGAATCCTTAAAAGTCTATTCATGGCTTTACTGTTCTCCACAATGTCCAGACTGGCTCTGGGCCCCACCCATCCTCCTATCCAATGGGCATTCGGGACTATTTCCCCATTGAATAAAGCAGCAGGGGCATGAAGCTGACCGCTTACCTCCATCTAGTGCTGAGGTCAAGAATGGTAGATCTGTACCTCCACTCTCCCATATGTCTTCATGGCATAGTGCTTAATTAATTAAGCACAGGGACAGCTTTACCTTTAGATATATCAGCACACATGTCAGAAGTTGCATATCTGTTGGTGCATGATGTATGTTTCATCCTTCATGTTAATCCTTGTCTATGTCAGTGTCTCTGTTTGTGTGTCCCATCATTTCAGTTGACTGATTTCCATGAAATGTGGTATCAGCATCATGCTATGGAGAGCCACCACATTGTCATACTTCAGAATTTCCAAAATTTACCACACACAAGCTGGAGTGAAGAACTCTGCAGCATCTCTGATTTGCTATTTCCATCCTTCAGATGAAAATGTAAGAGTCGAGTGGAGTGTAGGGAGCAAGGTGACCGAGATGTTTAACGTACTGTCCCATTATATCTTCCTGCAGACTGTGCATTGAGGAACTCATGAGTGATGGTTACATAAAGCGGTCAGGTGCTGTCCATGCTGACCAGTTGTAACATTGCATAACTTTCTTGAATTTGAGCTAGCACAAAGTTTTCCAACCAGTCTACATTGTTGTGTAACATAACAATTGAGGCCATGGTGAAACAAAGGCTCTCTGACCCTCCTGTATGCTAATACACAGTGCACATAACCGTTGGTCTCCAGTGGATACATGTGGGTTTCTTTCTTGTCTGTCATCTTATGTCTCTTAAGCATTTCCAGACACATGCAACATGGCCTCAACTGTGAAAAAGACATTTCTTTTGTGATTTGAAGTGTTGTCTTTTACAGTATGCACCAAAAGATACAGTACTGAAATTCATTCTGAAATTCTATTCATGTGAAGGCCCCTTGCATGACAGAGCCTTCTCAAATCCTGGAGAAATGGTCCCATCACCATGTCCCTGTAATGTTCTTGGGCGACGGTAAGAGCATTGCCTTCCTCATCCTCAATGTAATAGGGGCCTAATGTACCATGTGCTGAGACGGCACACCATATCGTCATATGTATACTACGTAGCGGTTTCTGGATGATAACATCTGGTCCCTCAAACAAAGGAAGCAAGTTGTCTGGTGACCACTTCCATATGAGCAGAAATGATACTCAACTATGAATACTTTTTCCTCCATCGAGAGACCCATTTCCGGCAACTGCACGACACAACTTCCTTTTCACTACTGGGAACACCTGCAGCTATGCCCCATCAACCAACGCACATGTGCGTTCAAGATGCACGAGTTTCAATACTGCATTTTTTGGCACATACTGTACTTCTTTGTGTACATTTTGTCCTGAAGAAAAAATGGGCATATGACATCACCGGGGGGGAGTTGTGTGTGTGCGTTTGTCTCCCCTCATTTCAACTCTGAAGCAGTTGACTGATTTTCATGAAACTTAGTTTCATCATTATGCCATTGGAAGGGACCACATTGTCATACTCATAGTTTCCAACAATCAGTAAGTAATAACAGGTTTATGGACATGCAAACTTTTGAGTTGGAATCAGCATTAGTGCCGCATAGTTTAGGATTCTGGAATGACTTATGGTAATAGAGCTTTGACAAATATGCAGTTATTATTAAGTAAGTTTTTATAGAATGTGAAATAACAAGACAATGGTCATGAGAACAGTGTCTTAGCTCTGTTTTGATGATTAGCACTGATGAACCGCTGGAGCTAGGCATGCAGAATTTGGTATAGAGATAGGTCATAAACAGTCATATACACTGTGTGTGAAATGTTTGTATATCAGCAATAAAGAAACATGACATTGACATGTGAAAGTCTGAGGATACAGTCTACAAAGTAAATGTAGACCGAATATGTACTTAAGTAATGAATTCCTCTGGAAGATAAAGGAAAGCAATAACAACAATAAAGGATGGATGGATAGATGGAGGAAGGAATGAATGAATAAATGTGGGGTGGGCTTTGACCAGTCCTTGCACCGCAACCATCACTGATTACTGAGTATCCCCCTCTGTTTCAGTCCTTCAACAGTCCTGTACTTTGAATGAAGTGTATAATGATACTTGAAGGGGTGTCTTGCTAGTCATCTGGTTCTGTAATGTCCCAGATGACAAAATCTTAAGTAAGCTATGGACTCACAGTCACATAGGCTTTGTCCAGCTGATTCGCCATTTATTAGGCACTTTTCACAAGTGGGATTATTGGTTAATCCAAATTTGAAAAGGTGTCCTTTTAGGTGATAGTTTTCCATAAATACTCCCTCACCCACTGTAATTGGTTTTGTCCAGTCTCTGACAGCTTTCTTGGCTATTGCTGAGATGCTACATGCTGGTTCAGGTTCCATAAATGGACTTTCAGATCTTAATATTGACAGTTGATCCACTGTTTCATTACCCTCAATATCTCTGTGACCCAGCACCCCATCTGTTGAACTCTGTTCCATTTTCACAATGGATGGATGGCAGTCCCAGGCGATTTCTCTGTTGATGTGGTAATTGCTAATTAGGTTTAACCTATTGTCATATATAAGACTTTGTCACATGTACAGTTTTTATTCCGATTTTTATTATTATTTTATTGTATTATATTGTTAACTTTAGCCAAAGTCTAGTGTAAGATTTTTGTAGTTTGTGAATTCAGTCGGAACTGACTTGTATGGACCATTTATAAAAATGGGGATATTAATGTTGCAGGTCAGTAATAGTATGCGAGAAATTCGCAGCACCTGAAGATGACCCATTTGATGTCGAAACATGTAGTGCATGCTATATAAATAAATAATAAAGTATTGTTGCTGTGATGGCAAAAATTATATATGTTCATTGTATATACGTAATAGGATGCAATCCTTAAAAATAAAAATATAAGATACACAAAATGTAGCACACACAAATTACTGGCTCATATCTTGCCAGCACACATGTTGCACATGCCTCTCTGCATGAGAAACGTTATTAATGAATGTTATCGCAGTTATGATCTTCCTTTTCCTCACACATTTCACATGACCTCCTTTGCCCAATGAAGCTGTGAAAACTGTGTTGCTGTATCTAGCCTGGGTTGTTACAAAATCTCAGCATTTGAAAACCTGACCTTGATTTTATGCACACACTTTAAATGCCTACAAACTTTAGTACTCTCTCTTTGATGCTTGAATGTCAGTATCTTGTTTTCTCTGTGCATTTCAGGACTGATGAACTGATTCAGGGAACAATTCGTCATAACTTTGCTGACTGTACAGTTCTGACAGTTGCCCATCGTCTGCACACGGTGATGGACAGCGATCATATCCTTGTCATGGATGCTGGATCTGTCATGGTGAGTCTGTCTTAGCCATCTGGATACTGACAGCTAGGTCATTTGTGTGTTAACTTCCTCTGTTCTGCAAACAGTGACTATTATCACCTCCCACCTTAAAATTCTCATACAGTATGTAACACCATTGAACATACTTTAAGGGTAAATTCTTGCTGTGTACATGACAGGGAGTTTGTATTGTGTTGTTGGAACGATTATAACAGATATTTAGGCATGTAACTCACAAAGGTAAATGCATAGTGTGGGAACATCCCACATAGCAACACGCGGTTTCGCTGGTCTAACAGACAGCACTCACTCCTAGTCAATATCACATTGTGGCACACTGCTGCTACCACTCGTATTTATACAGCACTCAATGTCCAGCCCACCTGTAGATCATCACGCCAATCAGCGCTCACAGTCGCAACTGCATGAGCTGTTCACTGCGCCAAAGACAGCTGTCGCAACTCTCCAGCAACCGCGCTCTGCTACCAGACAGCTAACATAGCTGCCGCAGCTCTCCAGCAACCACACTCTGCCACTAGACAGCTAACGTAGCTGCCGCAACTCTCCAGCAACCACGCTCTGCGACCAGGCAGCTAACATAGCTGCTGCAGCTCTCCAGCAATCACGCTCTGCCACTAGACAGCTAATGTAGCTGCTGCAACTCTCCAGCAACCACGCTCTGCGACCAGGCAGCTAACGTAGTTGCCACAACTCTCCAGCAACTGTGCTGCAGGCAGCTGTTCCTACAGGCGCACACAGCACCATATTACCGGCCGGACAACCCAGCTGAATGGCCATAAAGACTGGGTCTCCTAAAAAGGAGCAAATTCTACCAGTGCACTCACAGTGGAACAAACTGCCGTCTTCAGGGCCAGCGAACTTTTGACATTCCACATAGCTTTGCAGCTATTCTGTAGATTCAATTTATACAATTTAATATATACAGTTGTTACAAATTTACGTGGTTGCTTTTAGAACATCGACAATCCCACAAAAGTAATAATTTTGGCTACCAAAGATTGTACAGGAGAATAATTTTAAAGTGATTCTTAATGCAGTAGTAAGTTGGATTGATTGACTCATAAGTCTCCAGTGTTATGATGATAATGAACTTTTGGGTTCCATAATGGCAGAGCATTTCTTGAATGATTAATAGCATAATTCCGGGCTGTCCAACTCACAGTATTAAGGCCACTTGTAGCCTGCCAGTTGGTCTTACATGGTACATGAAGTTATCCTTTCCTCCCCAAAATATATGGCTTTCCTTTCCTAGAAGAGGTAACACCTTTATGAGAAGTGCTGCTTTTCATATTTTCATGTGTATGGGGTGACTGCAGAAAGGGTTTGGATTGGTAATCAGATTTATTGCACTCTTGGATACAGTTTGACTACACTTTACAGTTCACTGTTACACACCCGCACTAGTGTCTACAGTCACGTCTTCAGTGCCGTTCCTTGGTAGCAGCTGCCAATGACAGGCTTTTCCCTCACTCTTGGTTCCCAAATGGTCACTGGCCTCGGCTACCAGCTTCTCACAGCAACAGCTCACAGTGACTGAGCCCAATTGGTTCTCTCACTGACTCACCAACCTACACTTCGCTGACTGACTCCACTGACTGTCCTGCATAGAAAACACCGCTTCTCTAATTGTTGCTGTGGAATTGTTGTGTTCATGTCTGTTGGCAGAGCCATTGCAGCAGTTGTTGTATAGTTGCTCATTTTGTGGTTGTTGCCTAGCAGCAGGTCCACATGCTACAATATATAGCATTACGACATAAAAAGAGCAGGATAGCTCAGTATATCAACTTGGCTAGAAGCTAGATAATTGAGGAATTTAGATAAGTCCTACAGGGGCAAGAGGTTTTTCTTATTACCATATTTTCCAGACAAGCCCTGAGGCCAACCCAGTCTCCCATCCAATGGGTACTGTTTCCCCAGGAGTAAAGTGACCAGGCCTCGAAGCTACCACTAACTTCTATCTAGTGCCAATGTTAAGAATGTCCGGAACTATACCTCCACTTCCTCATATGTCTTTATGGCATGATGCCTAATTAATCACAAAGACACCTTTACCTACACACATTACAGTGTTTTAAATTTATATTAATAATTTTTAACTTTATTGTGCCATTTGATTTCATGTACTTTTGTTTCTTAGATCTCCTTATTGCAGGGCAGGTGTTTCTATCATAATGGTAACAAATATATTTTTAACCATGTAGCCTTGAGTATGTACCTGAGGTACAATATAGCCCCTCAGTGGTTTAAAGTTGGACATCCCTGTTTATTGTGACTTTTGTCTGTAGGAATGTGACCACCCATATGTGCTGCTTAAAAACAGGAGTAGCTTTCTGTCTAAGATGGTGCAGCAGACTGGACACACCATGGCGGAGACACTGTTTGTAATTGCGCAGGAGGTAAGTACCACTGTAAATTATCTTGGGTGATTCTTTTCAAGACCATGTTACAGATTTGGTTGCCCTGAACAAAGCCCCAGATTGGTAATATCCTCTAGTTACTGCCCACAAACTGTCTCCTTGTTGCAAGAGTTCCCTGCTCTACTAAGGCTGATGAGAAAAGTTGCACAGGTAGTGGGGATGTTGGCACTCTGGTCTTCCACTTCTTCCTATTTTTCTACTGCTGTATTACCCTCTAACCCCCTCTGACATGCTTGAGCCTGCCCAAAGCGTTTATCTCTAGTGAAGCTTCTCACTACCAACCTAATGTGAACAGAATGTCTAGCTGATTGGAGCAACATTCAGGGAGGCACATTGTTGGCAGAGCATGACTCCTTGAGGAGGATGTGGAGAGGATTCATCTGTGGAACTTGTTTTTCTCATTTCAGTATAGTATTCATCTCTTACAGTCCATATAGTGGCGCTGTCGGTAGCTCAAACTGTATAGTGTCAAGACTCAGTGTTGTGGGTCACGATTTTTTATCATCACACCAGCGTTCATACCTGTTGCATGGTTGTTTTGTATCATTCTTTCTCTTCAGGCCTTGTATGCCATAACACTTGTGTGAATCTCAAATATTGGAGATCAAATGAAGAAAAAAGTGTTTTGACTTTGGCTCAAACATTGATACTGTCATCATTTGTTATCAGTCATTTTTGTCCTTTCCAGCATTAGACTTGGTGAGACCTATTTGTAGATATTACAAAGCAGAAGATTTCCATCTTTTCAAAGGTCATCATGAACTTCCATTTCCTTTTAGGTGATTCTGTCCACTCCTCTTGAAAGGAATTAGGAGTCCCACCGGTTGGTGTGTAGCCAACGAATGACAGCATTCCTATTTTCAAGCATTTGGATAGGCTTTGTGTGTCAGCATTTCCTGGAGCAATGATGTAACAGTTATCCAACTGTAACTTGGGCATCATAGCCTTTTTAGTGAGATCGCAGTAAGGGATGGGAAGAAAAGGTTGATGACTGAGTAGGAGACTCTGTAGGAGATATGTCTCACCCATGTGCCTGTAATTGTTATAATTGTTTTTATTTTTCTCTCCTTTTCCAGAGTTACGAGAAAAGGAGTGTCTCATGATAATGGTACTGGGAGAGGCAACAGGAAATGGGAAACCAAGTATGATGTGTGAAACAAAACTCAGGTGTATGGTAGGATGAACTCATCTGACAGTTTCCTGTTTCATTTACTTTTTGTTTTTACTTAATTTTGTATGCAGTCAACATAGCACTGCAATCACTACTGTAATATTTGCTTATTCAGAATATTTCAGAACATTGTAAAAATCACAGAAAATTATATGTTGAGGGAATCACCCATCTCTTGTTCTGTACCATTTCTACCTTATGTTGTGCACCTAATCTGTCACAGTTGAACTGAGGGCCAGTTTATCCACTGGGAAATATGAGCAGATGTCTAGTGTCCCCTATCACTTCAGTGTTGCTATCATCTGCTTAAATTGTCCCAAATTATGTTCAAGTATCTCAGGTATACACATGTATCCGTGAAATTTTTTTGTTTTTATTTTAGTAAGGTTTCATGAATTGCACCAGATGTCACTGGCATGGAGACAGCCAAACAGTTTTGCATTCTGCTGGCAGATTTCAGGAGCAGAATCAGGAACATAGAGAAATTATGGCTGCATGGTCAGAGTGTAACAATAGCAACATTGAGGGTTAGCAAGTGTTGGCATCCTGGCATGATTTGGCATTTTATATTTCTGGTTTGAATGTAGAAAGTGTCAGTGCTGTTTCCTAAAATGGTTCTGAAGCAAGAAAGTGTTTAGCTTATATGTTTTTAATGTTTTCCTGTGCTCTTTACTTTTACCAATATGACTAAACTTTGTATTGGTATCAGAATATTACTTATTTTTCTTCAAAATATATTGCCTGGGGTCAATATTGTGCTTTGTCCAAGGCCTACCATTGCCTTAAAGCAGCCATGGTTGGACAATGTGTAAAGCTTAATTTTCAGATTATTCACAGATTATTTTCAATTTACTTGAAATTCAGTTGCAAGATCTGAAAAAAACATGTACTCACTTTGTGCACATGTAAAACGCCTAATTGTGGTTGAACAGAATTAAATGACATTTTATGTAAGCGTCCCTGACTAAACTTTGTTGAATAATATCAAATTTGAGCTGTAGGTACTGGACAGATTTTGTTATGATGCATTACCAGATTTTGATTGTGTAGCATCCAGAGACATGTGGACAACAGCTGCTAACTGCAGCCAGACACATAGGCATTATAAATGAACAAACATCCACGTATTGTTTTAAGGTTTCTAAATGTGACTTGGTTCATCTTAGACTGTCACACTAGCAACAGTATAAAATGACCTGTACCACCATCCAATGTGATTGATTTATAAGTTGTATTTCAATATATCACCAGAGCCTTCAGTCAGGAAGCGGCAGTCACCATCAAATTGGCAGTTAGGAGTTGAGTCATCAAGAGTTGTGAGGGTGTTGAGGGTGTTGAGGGTCAATAGTACGTGTGTGAGGGTCAATAGTACGTGTGAGTGTGGAATGAGGAGCTGCAGTCTAAAGTTGCAAAGTTACGATTTATGTGTTAGGAGTCTACAGTGAACAAACAAGCTGCAGGAGGTGCCGCCACTGTTGGAAGCCACTGCTTACCAATGACTAGTGAGGACACAGCAGAGGAATATACTGAAGTTATCTGTAGAGCGTGCATATCAGTGAACTTGCTGTAATTATCAGTATCACACATTCAATAAATTCAATATTCAATCCAAAACACATGTTAAGTCATAAACATGTGGTAATCTATATTATTGCACAGTTGCTTCAAACGGTATAATAATCACCCACTGCATGGTGTGGGTCCCAAGTCCATCTAGGCATGGTGGCAAAGAGAAAAATCCACTCCTGCTATGAACAAATCTTAGGCTGTCCAGACCAAGGACTGAAAAACTTTTAAAAATCTGACATTCAAATAATGGATCGGTTTTGTATGGTGCCTTGCTGTGGTTCCCACTCACACCTGGCACACAAGATTAATTTCTACCTGTTGTACAACTGTCTGTCCTGAACACACAAGGCAATAATCCAATGCACAGAGATATTGGGTTCTTGGACTTTATCCATCGTCCCGGTTTTAAGATAAGAAAAACATGATGTTTAGGAAATTGGATCTGTGTCCATCCTCAGGTGAGGGAAAACACCTAATCTGTTGGGTCCCTTAGAAAGAGCTAGCCTCAATCACTGGACAACCAATGTCACAAAACACAAAGGTTATAAACACCTGAGACCAGGCTAAGTCAATGAGAGCTAATAAGAAAAATATACATTACAAATTGTTCCAAACACATACAAGCGTGAACCAGGCTGCCATGCTGGTCCTTGTTATATAGCCTCGGGTCAAACCACACAGAAAACACTGATTTACCATTACTTACTTACTTATGGAGCTGAGCCCTTCTTGAGAAGCCGCCAATTCTGCAGCTACTCAAGAATTTCCCAACATTTTAAGGAACTCGAAGGTTCATTACCGTGTTCACAAGAGCCCTCCACTAGTCAATATCCTGACCGAGAACAATCCAATGCATACCATCCCATCCTATCTCTCTGAGATCCATTTTAATATTGTCCACCCACCGATGCCTTGGTCTTCCCAGTGGTTTCTTTCCTTCTGGCTTTCCAACCAATATCCTATATGCATTCCTCTTCTCCCCCATTCGTGCTACATGCCCTGCCAATCTCATCATCCTTGACTTGATTATTCTAATTATACTTGGAGAAGAGTACAAGTTATGAAGCTCCTCATTATGCAGTTTTCTCCAACCTCCTGTCACTTCATCTCTCTTTGGTCCAAATATTCTCCTCAACACCCTGTTCTCAAACACTCTCAGTCTATGTTCCTCCCTTAATGTCAGAGACCAAGTTTCACACCCATACAGAACCACTGGCAAAATTATAGTTTTGTGTATTCTAGTCTTAATATTTTTTGACAACAGACGAGAAGACAAGAGGATCTGGACTGAATGGTAGCAAGCATTACCCAAGTTCAGTCTCTTCTTAATTTCCTCCTGAATCAGGTTTTCATTTGTTATCGTCCCCAAATATCTGAACTGTGCAACATTTTCAAAACATCTGTTTTATATCGTTATGTCATGATTTTGCCCTGCAGTTTGGTGACAAGAGAGCAACATATACTTAAGTTTTCTCTGTGTTTACTTATAGACCAAGGTCCTTACTTGCGTCAATTAAAGTTTGTGTCTTTTTCTTTATGGTATCTATATTATCACCCAGTAGATACATATCATCGGTAGAGACCAACAGCTGATGTGTCCCATTTAATTTCAGTCCCACCTGGTTTTCCTGGACCTTCCTAATGGCATATTCTAAAGCAAATTTGAAAATGAGTGGTGATAAAGCTTCTCCATGTCTTAGACCATTCTGGATAGGAAATTTATCAGTCAAATGTTTAGCTATACGGACTTTATTATACGTTTTGTTTAAACACATTTTAATCACCTTAACTAGTTTCATGGGTATCCCAAACTCTATCAGAATACTGTACAATACTTCCCTCCTAACTGAATCATAGCCTTTCTTGAAGTCTACAAATAGCTGATGTACTGTCTCATTGTACTCCCGTTTTTTCTCCAATATCTGACGAATGCAAACATCTGATCTGTTGTTGATCTGTTATGTCAAAACCCACACTGATGATCCCCAATAATTTCATCTTTGTATGGAATTAACCTTCAGAGAAGAATATTGCATAAAATTTTGTATGAAGTTTATAGCAGTGATATCCCCCTATAATTACTACAGTCAGTTTTATCACCCTTCTTGTGAACTGGTACAATAATAGATTCCTTCCACTGATCAGGCAATTTTTCCTTATGCCAAACAGAAGTAACTAGCTTACGGATCTTTGAACATAACATTTCGCCTCCTGCTTGAACAAGTTCTTCCAGAATTTCATCACTACCTGTTGATTTATACCTTTTCAATTTTGCAATAGCACTTTCAACCTCGAGAGGCCTGGGATCAGGTATGAACAGCTCAGCTGTGTGTATTTCTATTTGCCTAAGATCACTGACCTTATGTAGATTCAATATCTGAGAGAAGTAGTTCTTCCACCTATTCAAAATGTTGTGGGAATCTGCAAGCAGATTACCATTCTCATCCTTCACTCAGTTACTTCTAGGCTGGTAACTCCTCTTCTCTATAATATTGTTGTTCTTACTGTTCATTGGAAGCTCATCAATTTTGTCTTTCAGATATTCCCTCTTCTTATTCCTGAAATGCCTGCTGGTTCGAGTCTTATATTGTTCAGATTATCCCTTTGTATTTTGCTTGGATCCTGTAACCATTCCAATTTGGCTTGTTTTCTTTGTGTCTAGTAATTCTGAGCATCCTTCATCGAACCATGGCTAATTCTTCTTCAGTTCATAATAACCTAGACTCTCACAAATTGTCAATGAGAAATCCGTCGAGTGCAACAATGTTTCTAGGTCACTTATTTATCTCACTTGCCTTACATGTTTCGGTTCAAGAAAAACCATCATCAGAGGCACGCATTACAAACACATGAAAACACTGGCGTTGTTTAATGTACACAGTATGTAAGCTGCGTGGACGCTGTTACAGATGTCGAAGTGTAAAAGCACAACACTTTCTAGTAACATTGAATGCACGTACAACTCTTGCATTCCATCTGAAAGTTTCCTTCAAATTAAGCCGTCAATGTTAAAATATTTAAAAGTTTAAAACATTTAAAGTAAAATGTTAGGCTCCTTCTTGTTAATTCGTCCCGATGATGGGAGATGTCAACTTGAGGTTGTGTAGGCTTATGGTCAGATGTTTCTTACGCGTTGTGTGTTGTGTTGAAACAATTCATAACCTAGACTCTCCTTCGCAGAAATTTTTATATTCTCTCTTATAGTTTCCCAAGCTTTATTAACATCCACCTCAGTGTCCAAGATTTCCAAAGCCATGAATGTATTTGAGATTTCAACATGATACTGCTCTTTACTTCTACCTCGTTTAATTTCTTGAGATTGAACCTCTCCATATGAACTCTGTGTGTTCTTTGTTTGCTCACTGCCAGTCTTTCCCTAACCCTTGCCACCACCTGGTAGTTGTCACTATCACAATCTGCTGCCCTGAATGATTGGACATCAAGTATACTTGAGTGCCATCAGAATATAGCTCACTTGCCCAGTATAACTGAATGAACAGAATTTCAATCAGCAGACTAGCGTATGAAGCTGAAACATTGACAATAAAGAAGCACTTATTTTTAATAAATAAGGAATTGAATTGAATTGAATTGAATTTAGTTACCTTCCATAAATCCAGTACAGGTGAGACACCATAGGATATGGAACAAGTCAAGTTAGAATACATAGTATCTATACAATAATACAGTAATATTGCAATTAAATGAGGTAAACTTATAATACTTATAATACACATTAAACAATGATCAAGAAATTTATCAAAATTTATCATGGACTAAAATAAAATAAAATTTCTATTAAGACGTTCATTCATTACTCATTCCATTAATCAAGTGCGTCAAATTAAAATGCATATAAAAGAGACACTTATCATACAAAATTCACTTATTAAAACAAAAAAAAACAGTAGATTAGTCATATAATATAAAATAAGCATAAAAATAGTTGACAACTTCAGGTGCAACTTAGTCAATAACAGAAATCAAAAGCACGCAAGCCAACATGCTACAATGCATAGTCATACACATACCGTGTATATTTCACCAAAATATAATTCATGATCACATATGCAAAACTTCACAGTAATAATAAAATGGTTAACAGACCCTTGTTCAAACATGTTCTTCAAACTATCATACAAGATGTAATACCCATCAAGACAAATAAAACAGGATAATTACGTAATTTGTAGTTTATGACATATTTCTATATCAGTTCATTTGTCGTCACGATCTGTGTGTTCTCTTACATTACACATTATACCCATTTCTGTTGGTAGTATTCTTTCATGGAATAAAAGGAGTGATGAAGTAAAAATCTCTTCAGTGCTC